GAAAATCTGGGGACAGAGAAACATGTTGTAGTTGCCGACTTATCTAGATTTCAACTTATTACCTCTGGATGTTTAAAAGCAAATGAATCTTGTATTGTAGCAATAAAAATGTTAAAGAGCATTTTGGAAGACACAGGCTCAAAAGAATCAATAGTTTCATTCGAAGTATCATCTCTCCCTCTGGAAATTCTCTTCCAGGCAATTGGCAATTTGGTGTATAGATCATTTAGAAAAAAAAATCGTCTACATTAAGACCTGTTCTTATTAAATAGTCCCCTGATCTTATTTCACCTTCTGCGTCAATCAAACATTCAACTTGAATAATGTTTACATCAAATAATTTTGCATTAAAAGGAATTATCCTACCTTCAATTCAAGTATTGTTAAAGATAATTAAATTTTCATTAAGTGTTTCTTGACATATATTCCTTCTCTTTTAAATAATTCCAGATATTCAAAAAGTCCTGGAAGAGACTGGGTGCCTTGATATTGATTGTTTGGGGATTATTATTGCAATACAATATTACAATTGTACATTAAAGGGCCAAATGACATCGACATACAAGTGTATTCCTGTCGGTGTGCAGTCCTGCATACATCTCATATTTTGATATGTAAGCTTCTGAATTTGTTTCATAGATTTTTTTTTTTCTTCAAACTTGTTAAGCTCCACCCAAAAGCCTCCAGATCTCATTCCCCTTGTGACATCATCTATCAGTCATTAATGAGCTAACTTGAGAAAGTGGCCTGTAACTTTGCCAAAGTTGACCATCTGTTACAATACCACAAACAGTAGCAACATATAAGTTGCTATGTCAGAAAAAGTTTGGCAAAGTTAAATGTGATGTTCATGATGTTGGCCGAACGACTCTCACGTCAAGTTTCTAAAACTCATCGTCTTTATGTAGCATTACGTTCAATATAATGAAATTGGGGTTTTTCCTCATTAACAGTGGAACATCGCCATTGTTTATACTCATCTTTGTGTCTTTTAACATGATATTAACATATATTCAAGAGAAGGAAGAATGCGTAGCAGTTTGTACATAAAAATATCGAATACTTAACGGGCAAGAGAACAACAAGTTTGAACAGAATTTGTTTTATTTTAAATCTAATAGAATGATACCAAAATTAATTACACGCAAAATTTGAAATAAAATGCGATTAAAAAAAAAACAAGTATAGTGAGCGGGGCGAGCACAAATCCTAGTAAAGAGTTACAACTTTAAGCTTCTTATCTGTCACAATACATTCCCGTACAGAGAAAGAAACTTAAGCACTGTCAGTATTCACCGTGCCTTTCCAACTACCCAGTACTACAGCACATCCCCTAACCACTGCGTCATACATTCATAGCTTTATACCCGAGTATTACACATTCCAATAGAGTGTTAAACGTCATGCTTTATGATATGGAGGTCAAAGGTACTCGTATTCTTTTCATCTACTCAATCTGATAATCTGTGCATATTCGCATTTGTCATTGTTTGATTTCAGGTAGGCACACAATGGAATATCATATCAACGGGTCTCCCACTTCCATACTGCATGCATTGTACGTATGGTACACCGTTTGCTAGCTTTTAATTGATGACTTGTTGCTCTAAAATGACGGAAGAAGTGAAATGTTTCTGATGTGGAATATAAAGCAAATAATCACCTTTTGGTTTCAGGCGATGGCAAACTATCACTTCCTCGGCGATCTGAATGTATACGCTATCTATACGCTATCGCTACGTATAGGATAGCTACATTCAGATCGCCTCGGAAGTGATAGTTTCTCCCATCACCTTCACCAACGGTAGTTATTTGCTTAATATATATAGGTATATATCACTGTTTGACATGATATATGGATAGCATGACACTGTAATGTACTATTTTGAATAACACAGATAAGAATCTACAAACAAGAAAATACTTTGTGTACTTTTACCTTCTATAATAGTATGTAAATGAAACAAAAGAATGTCTTCATGGAATATTTAAAAATGAAACGAAGCATGTTCTCGCATTCATTTATATCTGAACAAACTCAATTTTATATCTGCACACATTACATTTTGATGATTTCGCTGGTAGCAATGTATCAGTACCTTATGTTTATGTCTAATGCAGAATAGGGCAATGAAACTCTTGCACATTTCTATAGGCAATGGGGCCGACATTAAATTATTAATGATAATGATAAAATTGTTTTTGGATTTGGTTTGGAACTAATGTGCTTGGAGATCTGCTTACCAAAGCAAAAACCCTTCTTAATAGTTTATTGGTACAGACCACCAAATTCCCATAATGCACACTTCGAGAAATTTGAAACTTTGTTACAACTCTTAGAGTCATCCTCTAAGTATTTTATTATCTTTGGGGATCTCAATTGTGATTTATCAAAAAGATCTATGTCAAGTCAAACGAAAACTCTGAAGCGTTTAAGTGAGGAATATGATTTAAAACAATACATAAATAAGCCAACAAGAGTAATTGATGTGTTTTATTCTTCTAATCATGAGAAAGTTTCTTTTAGCGATGTCATCCCTCTGAGTTTGAGCGACCATTTTATGACAGTATGTAATCTTGGTAGAGCAAGAACCATGAAAACACATCATAAGTACATGTATAGTCGTAATACGAAAAGATTCGATTCAGCTCAATTTAAATTGGATCTCTGTAATGTTCATTGGGATGATGTACTTTCTGACCCTGATCCAATCAGTGCTTTTGAAAAATGGAGCTCTAAGTTCAATTTAGTTTTAAATAGACATGCTCCATTAAGAAGAAAAAGAATTCGTCATAAAGATTCACCATGGATGAATAATGAAATTTTAAGTAGAATGCGAGAAAGAGATCGAATGAAAAGAAAAGCTAAAGGATCAGGGTCATCGAATGATTGGGTGATGTGTAAAACACTAAGAAATACTGTCACATCAATGATTAGGGAATCTAAAAAGAGATATGTTTCGGAAAGCATTTCGAATAATGAAGGTAAATTAAATGCAATGTGGAAATCATTGAGACGTATCATACCTAAAAAAGTCAATGATAGCGGATTTCAAAAGATAATTATTGACAAAAAAGAAATTACAGGATCAAAATATATTGCATCATGTTTGAATGACCATTTTGTAGATTTACCATCTAAACGGAAGGGAACCAAAATATTTGGTGGTAATATGGATCAGTATATGACCCAAGTAAACTCAACATTTAAGTTTAAAGAGATTACAGATAATGAGGTTTTGAAATGTATTCATGATATTGCAAGGAATAAGGCCACTGGCCTCGATCAAATACCAGCCAATTTCGTAAAAGATTCTATTGAATACATTGTTAAACCGCTAACTCATATCATCAATGCGTCATTAAGAAAGGGGAAAATTCCTTGTATCTGGAAAAAGGCCCGGGTGACGCCTATTCACAAAGGTGGTGATAGAGCTAATCCCTGCAACTATAGGCCAATATCGGTCTTACCTGTATTATCTAAAGTGCTGGAAAAACTTGTGTTTAATCAAGTGTATGATTACCTTTCAAAGAATGAACTATTATGTCATAACCAACACGGCTTCCGCCCAAAACATTCGACTTTGACTGCACTCTTATCTCTCACAGAAGATGTTTGTAAACAATTAGACAATGGGTATGTAGTAGGTATTGTAACGCTTGACTTAGAAAAAGCATTCGATTTTGTATCATTTGAGATTTTGCTTAAAAAGCTAAGATATTATGGTTTTGATCAAAATTCAATATGCTGGTTTCAGGATTATTTCCATGATAGGGAACAATGCACTTTGGTAGACGGTAGCATGTCACAGAGCAGGAAAGTAACAAGTGGAGTGCCCCAAGGAAGTATCCTTGGGCCATTGATGTTTATTATCACTCTGAATGATTTATATAAATCAATCAACAAATGTTCCCTTTCTCTGTATGCGGATGACACTTGCATGTATTTTGCATCAAAAGACCCAAAGATATTAGAGAAAGTAATCAATGATGATTTGAAATCAGCTACGAAATGGTTTTCAAATAATGAATTGTTGCTTAACGTTGACAAATGTCAGGTCATGTTAACCGGCTCAAAGTCAAATTTGAGTCGTTTCTGTAATATTGATATTCGTCTGAATAACAAAAAATTAACCAGAGTAATGGAATGCAAATATCTTGGGATTTTGCTTGATTGCAATTTCTCATGGAACCCACAAATAGACCATGTAAAGAAAAAGGTTTTAAAGACATATTTTGCTCTAAAGCGAATGAGACAATTCACAGATGAAAAGATAGCATTAATACTGTACAAAACCTTATTGCAGCACGATTTGGATGAACGGTAGAGAAACTCGGTTAAAACAACTTCAAACTCTACAAAATAGGTGTTTGAGATCTGTACTTGGAGTGAATAGTAGATATCACACTGAAATTCTTTATAAAACCCTTGAAATTGACATGCTAAAAGAATACTGGGTCAAACAGGCTTTAGTTACTATATTTAAGTTGTTACATAATCTTGGTCCACCTGTTTTATCGTCATTGATCCAATTTAATACTAATGTAAGCTATAGGTTCCGTTACGCAAATTCACAAATCCCCCTTCCAAGACCTCACACTAATTTTATTCAACATAGTCCATTATATCATGCATCAAAACTCTTTAATACCCTACCCAACGATATCAGAATTATAAATGTTTTTAAATCTTACAACATTGAGATTAGTAAAATTCAAGATTATTTGCTCACTTCTTCCATCTCGTAGATAATTTTTTTTCTTTTTTCCCCCCCTCTCTTTATCACTATGATTCTATTTTATACTTAAATTTCTGTAAATATGTTCACTTATTATAACTTGCATATTTGTTTGTAAATTGTATTTTCATTGTTTTATTTTCTGTTATATGTAATCACGGCCCTGCTGAAAAACAGCTTTTGCTGAATGCGGGCACATTTGTATTATGTTTTTAACCGTGAATAAATAAATTATACCATACCATACCATACCATGTAGATCATTTCCTCACTACAGATTATTTTGCAGCACTTTGCAACCATATTTCACTTTTTACATATATATTTCAGTATCTAATGTTTACAGAAGAAGTTACTACTTTACTTTTTTCCATCTCAGCTACGATTTTTATCATATCCTGACGATAGACAATTGATGGAATATTTTGGATCTGTTTATTTAAACACACCGGTAATGATCTATAGAAAGGAGCACAAAATAGAGGGACTTATAATAATCAGTTACCTTTCCCTAACATACAGTAAATCCCAATTGTGCAATCCTTTGATAATTCTTGTTGTAATAGTACTTTTCCTTACTCCACCTATGGTGAGAGTATCAGGAGAATTAGCATTGCAATACATGTATAACACACATTTAGTCATCCTCTGCATAACGCCTGAATTACGCGTCTTTAATTTGCACTGTACTTTGCTAAAATTACTAATATAATTTTCCATGTCTCCTTTCATCACAATTCTGAGGTTTACACATTGTAATCTAAACTTTGTACTTCTTTCGAATCTATGTGATTAGATCTTGCCAATGACTATAAATGTTTCAGATTAGCGAGCATGTATATTTGATTTAATTATATTTCGTTACAAACCATGATAAAAGCACTGTATGAATGTATAGTACATAATTTTGATGGTATAAAAATATACCAATGAATACATAAAATTATGAATATATTAATTATTGAGGGGTTAATATTATTGTGTTCTACAATAAAATCCAAGGTATACCTCAAATTAGAGAAAAAATGGGTTAGCTAAAAAAGTTGCAGCATGATTCCTTATAAAAGTAGCAATCACAAATGGATTTGCAATTGCAAATCATACATGTACCTGTGTAGATACCATTATCTGTGTAGATACCATTATCTTGGTGAAAATGGAATTAAAACTTGAACTTGAACATAGGAAATTAAACATGATTTCCCTTTCATTTATATTACATGTTTACCATGAATGCGAACTTGGGCCTTTGTTTTCCTGAATGCACATTCAATTCTAGTGCGTAAAAGAATGGTCGCTTAGACTTTCGAAAATCAACATAATTTCATAATTTCATAATTCTTGTCCATCATCACCTACTGAAATGTGTGAACAGTACAATGACATATTACATAATCTGAACATGGTTTCTATGGGCTATAGAAGAATGTTGATATAGTTCTTTTTTTGATTTCTTCAGAATCTTTGTGATGATGTTTTAAGTACTAAAAAAGTGAACTATATCATCTTAGACCAGATGAACAGAACCATGCATGATTCTTTGAAGCCAATACAATTACTGATGATTTTACTTCAAAGTGCAGCAATGTTTAATACTCCATTCATATTTCAAAAGAAGAAAAAAATATACATACAAATACCTATGAAACATCATTTTGAAAATACTTTCCTACAGATAGTACATTACATAAAAAATTATTCCAAAAAAATATCATTACAATAGCAATAGGGAAAGACAGTTTAATTCATTAACATCATTTAACTTATCGTCTACTGGAACCGTATGGTCCCTGTGTTATGCGTATGGGAACGAGTGAATTTCAGTGAAAATTATTACGGGACTACGGGTTATTGCAAAGGCTTGAAAGGATGCGCTGAACATAATGTAAAGTCATCGTAAATATACACGTACGTACAAAATTGCATTTTTAACAGTAGCAAATAAAGAGTAGATATCTAAAAACCGATTTACTATACTACAAATGTTACTATGTTCATCACGTCCCCAACAAGGGGGAACTTTGATTAAGCTACGCAACCATTGTACTCTAATATATATACATGTATATCATTTGAACAATACAGTCCTCAGTATAGAGAAGCATATCATTCGCATCCAATTAAGTACCAAATAGCTCATTAGCGAGATGAATTTGACCAGCTTTCTCTAGAACATCCTTCAGAGCTCCGCACTCTGTGGCCTTGGTTTGCTTCTTTCTCCAGTCTTGGATCATTGATAGTGTAACCATGTATGATGAATTTGGATTATCGTTGACATAATGTTGGACATCTCCTGGTTGAAGGCGAAGAGCCTTCCTGAGATTATCTATATCAACACGCGTGGCAACATTTCGAGCAACAGTGGTCAGCTTTTTTTCAAAGTCGTCTAGTTTACCTGAACTGTTCCTTAAATAAATCATAAAAAAGGGATAATAGTATGTATCTAATTACATATACTGATAACAGGGGGAGGCGGTGTTGAAGAAAAATAAATCGTAGCCAATGGCTATGTATGTATATAAGCAAACAACCTTTCCCGGACCCTAATTTGCTTGGAGGGGTATATATTACAACAGACATGAAATACATCCCAGGGAGTAGAGAGGTTGCACATTGTGCGCGAATGAATCCGATAACCGTATCAATATCTGTAAAGCGTTTGGATTGTTTTATTTTTTATTAAGCACTATATAGATTATTATAATTGTTACATTCTTTTTTCCCGAGTCTTCTCAATTTGAAATCTTATGATTTTGATTTTGATATAATATCACATGAACTATCAGCAATAGTGAAATTCAATTATTATTTATTTGCGAGCGAAACTCAGACTGGTTTTAACTTATAGCATACTGACAACATTAAATTATCTGTATTGGGCTTTAATCCCTTTTTGTCATGTATTGAGGTTTTGTATTAAATGGCAAACTTACATTGCAAAGTTGAACATACAAAGCAGTTCTACCAGTGATTGTCCTGTCTGACCTACTTTCAGCGTCACTACTATTCTTTTATCTAGCTGGCTGCTCAGGTCCAAGTTAAAGGACTTTGTCCACCGGCGTCCTATCCGCAATTCATCATACGTGACTGTCTACAAAATAAAGATAGAATTACCCAACAATGTTTTTCTTCTGTTATATACATCAATGTCATTGTATAAAAAGCTACGTGTGATGCACTCATTTCCTCTCACTAAATAAATCAAATAAAATCAAACTATATCAAACCAAATCAAACATACGATCATAAGGTGACAATCTTTTTTTTTTTAATATTCATGTGTAGGACTAGCATGCTGAAAGAGATGGAGGTTTAACAAAATATGCCTGTATTCAAAACCAACCTTGGCTTGGAGGACAGTATATGTACCCTGACCCTTTAGCTAGCAAGAATCTCTATCAATTGTATTCAAATTAACAACAGTTGGGTAAAACAATTTGAATAATTTTGGGGTCAATAGTGATAGTATAATTTGTGTGTAAATGATTAAAAATTGAGAGAATAATTCAAGTGGTCTGCTGTTTATCACTGTAAGATTACCATATTCTTTATCATCTAATACTCCACTCACACAGAGACTTATATCGATCAGTACAACTAGAGACCAAAGAAATTAATACATTACCCGAAAATGGGGAAAAACAGTTGGTTTGGAGTCAGTTTGGTAGTGCAACTGAGGTTGTGCAACTTAGGGATTCAAAGATACATACCTAACTCACAGTGCCACAGAGAAGATTGCCTACGCTTTGATCTCATCTCTCCTTGATCTTGGAAAAGCCCTTTTATTAAATTTGCCTCAACATCAACTTTTACAATTACAAAATAGCACAACTGTGCTGCTTGTGTAGTGACCATCTCTAACACACACAGTCACACCACACCAATTTGCTCGTGCAAGGGCTTTGCTGTTAATAGCTCTCCATCGAGGGAATAAAGATTGCAAATCAGTTCAAGAGTTTAAAAACAATTTTTACAAAATCTGTCTGATTTAGCTTCTTTCTACTTCTTATTCCTTTCCGATGTGTTTTTTCCTACTCATCTTGTGAACAGACATAAGTGCTGCATTGTCTTATGGACTAGTGCCCCTTGAGCACTTCGGTGCCTTACTAATATGAATTAATTATTATCGTATTATTAGTATTATTCTATTCTATTCTATTATAATTCCATCTTTATTTTATTTTGAGGAGGCGCGATAGCTCAGTCGGTAGAGCAGTGGTCTCGTAATCCGGTGACCCGGGTACGAAAACCAAGTCGATGCGCTAGTGCCATTTGTTAAGGCATTAATCCTCATTACCAGGTCCCTCGGAGAGGACCTAAAGCCGTCGGCCGTATGGTTGCTTACTTACAAGCATTAATGCTTTTTTACCAGTCAGGTTAAAATCACAACCATTATTATTATCTTTTTTCAAGTATTGCTATAAATATTATTATTGTTCTTATTTTATTATCATTGTTTTTAGCAGATGTTTCTGCGTTAATTAATATACAAAATATAAAACATTAAAATAACAATAATATTATATAATATAATTGATTTACATAAAGAGACACAACTTAAATACATACACACAAAAAAATACACATACATATACATATATATATGTATATATAAAACTTCAAAGTATGAAAGTAAGTAAAATTATCAAAGTAAATGCAGAGGCAAACTATCATAAGCATAAATGCTTGAGTCGATAGCAGCCGGGAAGGGGAGGGGGAAGGTACATGGCGATGTTATAGGAGTATGTAGGAGAATAGAATGTCACGTATAGAGATAATTATTATCATAAAGGAAAACTTACATGTGCGGCATGATTTCCAATTGGATCATCCTTTATGAAACAAGTCATTTTGACGTCCACTTCTGCCACTTTGATTAGAACCTCTGCTTCAGGATGAATATGAGCGAAACCTATTTCTTCCTCCTGGGACGCTATCTGTCACGAAATGATTCAACAAAATACAAATAATAGCAAATAAAAAGTCAAGGTGACACTTCTTAGATTTTACTTGTAAGGCTTTCAAGTTGATTTGAATGGCATCAAGAAAATGTATGTGCTTTAACATTGTGACACTGACTAATTATGCTTTTTATAATATCAAATACATTTACACTGTATTCTTACCTCCTTGCTTCCTTTCACGCCATCATAGAGATACGCACGTAAGATGACAGGAGTTCTTTCCTCTGGTAGTTGCTGTTGTGCAAATGGCAGGCAACACATTCGCTTCCCTCCAAAAAAGACATTTAACTTGAATCTGATGAACGCCCAACAGAAGTGATTCATCTGCAATCTAAGTAAATCTCTCTCGATGTTGCAGTTGGGTATTCCGGACTGTGTTAATGGAATTGGTTCCTTTACTTCTGCGTCTAATATGAACAGATATGTAAGTAACTAACTATATTTATTTATATACATGTACAAAACATAAAACCATCACTTAAATTGAGCTAGGTCTTCTGTGCATATAGTTGATGAGAGAAACTACAGTAGGTATTTGCCTATTATACAATTTCCTTATATTCATAGGAGAGGTACACGAAAAGCTACGTAATTCATGAGAGTAATCAATGAGAAATATGATGAGGTGCATGAAAAACCCTCATACAAACTTCTAACGAAACATGCCGACAAATTAGGTAGCACATCCACTCTAGTCACAACGGACTTTTCAAAGGCTTTCGATAAAGTTGATCATACAGTAGTAATCTCATAACTTATTCACCTAGTGCCTTGTCCCTCACTTGTACCTTGGATTTATCACTTTCTGACTGGTCGCACCCAATGTGTTCGCTACCAAGGTGTCGTGTCTACCTGGGCTACAGTAAACGCGGGCGTCTCACAGGGGACACGCTTAATTATTAGGCCCGATCTTGTTCCTAGTCCTCATCAACGACGCATTGGCATCCTCGAAATTAGAGCATTGGAAATACGTTGATAACATGACAATAGCGGAAGCGAGGCCACGGGGTGCGGCTGCAGAAATCCACAATACCCTATCTGAACTGAACACATGGTGCACTAACAACGCCATGCAGCTTAATGCCAGTAAATGTCATGTAATGAGAGTAAACTTCAGAAAACTCAACTCCCTCCAATTAATGTAAGTCTTGGGGACCAGACCCTTGATGAGGTGCAATCAATCAAAGCCCTGGGGATACTACTACAAACAGATCTGAAATGGAACAGCCATGTCGATAACAGGGTGCGTAACGCAAATAGGTGCATGTATATACTAAGAATCCTGAAACCATTCCAATTACCATGTAAAGACTTACTTTGTGTATACACAGGCTATGTTAGGCCCCTCGTTGAATATACTGCTCCAGTGTGGCATCCAGGTTTAACAAACCAACAAAATGCCCAGATTGAAAGGATCCAGAAACGTGCTCTCAAAATTGAACTGGGATCAATGTACGTGATCTACGAAAATGCGCTACAAATGGCAATCTCCACACCCTAGACAGTAAAAGGCGAGAACTTTGCCAGAGATTTGCTAAATCACTAATAAATTCACCTCAGTTCAGGGACTGGTTGTCACGCCCACGCAAGAATAGATATTATTAATCTCTGAGAAGGGTTGCTCCTTATCCTGCAATCAGATGCAGGACTGAAAGATACAAAAGAAGCCCAATTCCATTCTTGGTCGACCTATTGAATGATTTTTAACTACAATCATCAGACATAGCTACACTTTTCGCTTTTCAATTCTTAATATATTAGAATTTTTACCAGTTTGTAACATGATATTATATTTTTAATGAATTGTATCCAGTTAATTGACAATTTCATTGCTGTTTCAAAAGTAACTGCTTAACTTCTTCCCCTCTTCCATTATCTCCTCTGTTTCTAGCAGTCTTTCTCTCCATCTCTCTCTCTTTCTCTGTCTCCCTCTCTCTCTATCTCCTATTCTCTCTCTCTTTCTTTTCTCTTTCTCATTTTCCCCCTTCTCTCCTATTGTATCCATAACTTTGTTTTTGTCTCTATTGTGACGATTTGAAAAAGCTGGGCCCGTTTACAAACCGATCAGCACATGATCCGTATTAAACCCATGAATATTAATTGTATATCTATATTTTGCTTTTGTAAATCTTAACTTATTCTCCGTCAAATTGAAGTAAATTTCCAATGGTTCACTTTATTTTACTGATCTTTTTAATCTGTTAAAATCACGCAGTTATTCACTTTTACAATCTACTGCTACTATTTTAAAAGCCTGTCTGCATGGTTACAAACAAACAGGACTCGTTAAAATCAATGCATATCGGAGAGGAATTATGATTGCATGTTCACATTTATATATATCTTTATATTTTTGTATTTTTACTATGAACTTGAACCAATTTTGAATTTACATCATGTAATGTCTGATTTCACATGTATTTATTGTATTGTCATGTTTTTATCAATTTGTAAAAAGTCACACAATTCAGCCTTCGGGCTGCGAGATGATTTTCAATAAATCAAACCATTTATATATACAACGCAGGGTACCCTCGTCATACTGTTTTATCTGAGCGACCTTACAATCAAATTATTACATGGGTTTAATCTAAGATCTATATCCATAACTCAGTACATGTATGTCAGTATAACTAAGCAAGCCAAAAACAAACCAGCAAATATAATTAGTTCGAAATGTAATTGCAACTTATTACTATCATTATAACGCTGTGATTTTACTTGGGGAAGATAACCCTTTATAAAGAAAAGTTACAAGATGTACAATTGTATGGTTAACCCATATAGCAGTTGAGTGTCATCTTTTAGAGATGTCTTATTTTTATCGTTTGATCCACATTAATTACAAATTATACATGAGCGGATAAAGCAAAAATAACAGAAATGTGTAAGTCTATTTCCAATGCAGTACAATGTTCCATTTCTAAATAAGAGCGATATAATTGTTACTTATCATTAATTGGCAACGTGGTGTAGAATGTAAAATTACTATTTCCGTGTCCAAATTGGCAATTTTTGGGTCAATTTGGCAATTTTTGTTCAAATCGGTTCATAGTATTATTTTTTTTTAAAATCAAACTGTGAAGGAGTGGAAATTGTTTTATTAAATGTTGCCGATTTGAGGAGGGAAGTCATGGTTAATTTAGAATATAAGAAATATATGAACTGCTATAGATTGAACAGCATGAGTATACAAATTTGTAATTTAGATTGACTGCGCAGTACAAACTCGTATGACCTGTTTCATTTTTTAACGATTTTTACCATAAAACCTAAACATTCCTTGGCTCGTAAACACGTACCTTTAGATGACTTTAGCACAACCTCAAAACTGGGTTCAGAAATGTTATGCGTATACAGGTAAACACGTACTTACCGGGTGAGTATTCTCCCTCTCCCGTGTACAAGACTGCCTCCACACTGGAGTATCGTGTAATCACAGCACAGTGAGGTATTGTGTAAGTCACAGGTAACTTAAGGACTAAGTCATGAGGGGCCAAGCACTGTACACCAAAGCAGACTGACATCTCTTCTTTGCTGATGCCAAGATTAGGAGTGTCTGTCAGGACACGAAGATAAATGTCCCGCGGCGCTTCGCTGTCAATAGCACCGGGAGGGATCTCAAGTTCAATCCCGAAGGTATCTAGTTGAAGTTTATCACCTTCAACTCCAACTCTCTTACAACATTCCATCTTGTTTGGTTTGAAATTTACTTCATCTAGTATAAAAATCATAAGATACATTTCCAGTAAAATCTGTCTGCAAACTATCAGCAACCAATAGAATGCATAATTGTACTTCAACATGCTAGCAAGTTTAACATAAGTTATAGAGCACCAAAGAGCAATGCACTCTGAAGTATCCTTTTCGTGAAAGGAATTATTCCTCATTTAGAAGAATATTCAGATGAATGTTAAAGTTTTTATCTTTTAAAAGGTATGTTTTTTTTTGTTTTTTTAACTGTTGCTGGGTTTAGACTCTACGTTGAGGAAAGGTATATGAATTTAGATATACAATCTATGGAATTCAGCAATCTATATGAATTTCTTTTTTAACTTGAAAGGATGAAGCACAATTACCTTTTATTGATCTCTCATCAATATGGTTGTAACACAATGAAATAATACGATAAAAGAAAACTCGCCTTGCCTTTTCTGCATTTTGCCGCACAATACACAACTTACTATTTGCTATATAGACCACTCACGGTAGACCTATTTTCACTAAGACATATCTCTGTTGAAAAGTGTTGTAAAGTTTTTACAGAGATTACGCCATCCAACATCCACAGTTGTATACATGTATACATGAGCTTGAATTACTCTCGCTCTCATGTCGTCGATAATTCATGACACATGCTCCGCCGACGATTGCTCCGTCGACAAATGCTCCGCAAATAGCAACAATTGATCCGCGACATTTGCTCCGCCGACAGTTGCTCCGCCGAAATTTGCTCCGTCCCTAAAGTACCCCGTTGAAGACAAATGCACCGCTGACGTAGCAGGAGTGCCCCGTAAAAGACAAATGCTCCCTTTTGCAGCGAAAAGAAAATAGGAAGAAAAGAAAAGAAAAGAAAAGAACAAGAAAACATGGACAAGAAAAGGTCAAGAAAAGAGAAAAGAAAAGGCTAAAGACAAGGGAAAAGGGACACAAAACAGAATATAGGAAGATTTAATTTCCATATTCTTGTATTGGCCTATAACTTTGTGTCGGGACGGTGTCGGTATAATTAATGACGGTAAATTCTGCCGTCGCGGCGTCGCAAAACGTCGGGGAAAATGAGAAATAAAATGGAGTATAGGTCTACATGCTCGTGAAATAATCATTGATTTAAAAAAGGGGTTGTAGGCAGGCAGAAAAAGGGAATAAATATTACCTTAAATTATATTGTGCCTAAGAAAAAAAATCACTATTTGTTGAAAGAAGGTCGCGTCAAGGCTGAGAAAATTGTTCGTCTTTGGCAAAGGTTTATCACTTTTTTTGTCCATCAGTGTCTTCTAATCGGGGAAATAAAACGCATCCCCCTTCTCAAAATGCGTGCTACGGCCCTGAATAACATTAACAAATCAAAAAAAAAAATTAAATAAAAAAATTAAAAATAAACAAATAACCCATGAAAAAAAATATTATCGGCGGAGCAAGTGTCGGCGGAGCAAATGTCACGGCGCAAATGTCGCGGAGCAATCGTCGCTTCTTGCGGAGCATTTGTCACCGGAGTAATCGTCGCCGGAGCATGTGTCGGGTTACCGTCGTCGAATCATGAATAAACCAAGCATTAACCGATACAAAGTATTCAAATACTTTATTCTTTGTTTCGCGTCTCTGCCATGCCTGGGACTGTAATAGACATTAAAAAAAAACTGATAGCACCAGCGAGACATTATTTGTGTTTCCTTATTCTCCAAATTAATATCTGCTCATGTTGTTCAAAACACAACATTAACCTGTTACATGGGGCAGGCTTTCCATGGCAATGCGATTCTCTTCTTCCTCCCCTTCTTCCTCCTCCTTTTTTTCTTCCTCCTCCTTTCCTTCTTCCTCAGTGTTCCGGGTGTCCTTCTGTTCTACATGAACTTGGACCCTTGCTGTCGATCCAACAAGCTCTTCTGCAAGATAAAGTCAGTCAAAACGGGACTCAGAATATACTAAACCTTCTAATCAAGACTACTAATATAATGATTACAAAAAAGTACACACATGTCATTTTTCAACTTAAAGAATTTATCACGATTACTTTTAACCAATCTGTCATGACGATTATTGTAATACCAATAAAAACATTAGATGAAAGAAAGAAATTGCAATCTACCCCTACTTTCCCTGTCTTTCTGCCTTTTGCCGAACATGACCGCTACAGAAAGAGCGCACTTCCCTTCATTGTGAGGTTACTCGATTCAAAACTGGAATAATGTAATAACAGATATTTTGTTCTAAAATGCTAAGCATGAACGTAAATCAAATTGTTTTCTTATAGATGTGTTTATTAAATGAAAAATGTAATTGTTAACTGAAGGTACATGTTTTTTACATGGATTATATTAATGTCAATATTGCACTACCAATCATATTCTCTTTTAGCCAAAAATAGGAAATGAAACTATAATTTCACTGTCCATTCATGTTAGGTGAATTATGTGTCCATTTTGTTCTCCATATACATGTACCTTGCACCCATATGACAATAGGCCTACTCTGCCTATGAATTTGCTTAAGTCATATCATAAAACCTTTATTTGTTCACCTCCATTACCCACTTCTGTTATCCCACCATCAATAATATTTGATCTAAGGTGTACCCATGTTTTGTTATGAATGTACTATTTTTAATGACTTTTTAATACTATTGTATTTGTGCAGTATCCTTGTGTTATTATTAAATTAATTGAACTCAATTCAGCCGATAGGCTGCCATGAACAATATTTTTTTTTATACCACAATAAGTAAATTAAAAAAAATTAAAACCTTCTTTTTGCTACACCACGGACGGTGTGCCTTTTTGGGGGGGGAAAAAAATTACCCCTATTTTGGGGGGGAAAAATGGAAAAAAATAATTTCAAGGGGAAAAAAAAATCATGAACAAAATTATTGAAAAAAAAAAGACCCTGGGTATTGGTGTTATATGTGTAATTGGTGACATACAGTCCTCAAGAGAGCGACATGCATTGATTAAATTTTTTCATTTCACCAGCTTGTAAAATCTTACCGGCCAGGAAAGTATAACCATTTGGATTATCGCAATCGATATTACGTGACGAGCTCTGGACGAATTACATGTCGGTATCTGTCTAAGCTTTTTAATATTACTTTATAGGGGGATTCCCACCCGAATATAGGTGATCCCAAATGTGACTTCTCCAAAGTTATTTCACTGTTAATCTACATGACCAGTATTCGACAATTTAATTACGATTTATTAAGGCTTGTTTTGATTTGGCGCAGCAAACCGCCGCACAAAAGCCGCCGGTCTTTGACATTTCGTGTAAAATTAATGGCAACTGCACGCATATAACAACTAATGATATCTGAACTAGCCTTTACTAGCTAAAGATGGGTGTAAGTAGAATTCTTTGCGAATATTTTGTTCATTCCTGTTATTCACAAATGCTTTAACGATGATTGCCACACCCACTGCACAACACAACCCGATGATAAGGGCCAGGATGTCTGGCCCAGTTGGTTTGATGGTGGCTACAGACACCGGTATTGGTTCAATGGTTGTGGGTACAGACGCCGGTATTGGTTCGGTAGTGGATGGTACTGATACTGGTATTGGTTCGGCGGTGGTGGGTACAGACGCTGGTATGTAGCGGATCGACAGGGAGGCGATGTTGGACAAGTCCCCTCCGTTCCCTGCCTCGTCCCAAGCCCGAATTGCGAAATAGTAGACGATTTCTTTCCCCCTCTCAGGGAGTGAAATAGTGACGGTCTCAATAACCCCAGCAGGACTGATTAAGGATAGGTTCCCGGAGACGAGTTGATCCTGTGTGACCTCATGACTAGTGTTGAAGTTGCTTCGGACCTCATAATAGTTGGTAGAATAGCGGAGTTCGTATTTTGAGGCTTTGTGGTGGAAAAAATACATGTCCATTATTATTGATGAACTTCAACACTTTTTCTTTACATTTTTTCAGCACCATACATTATAGGTATGTGTGATCGTCTGAAAATTCAGTTGCGAGCAAGCGGAGGGAACGAGTAAACGAGATTTGAGAGGTCTAATTGCCACCGATTAGATCTTATTATTTAGATAACAATTACCAATCCTGATGAGATAGCAAGTAATGTTGTTATGATTACCTCTTCTTTAATATGAAAGACATTAGGTAATAATAATGAAGTTATCTTGACTTTGAAAACTCCTTCATTTTTTTAACCTTGATCAAAGGGCAATTGATTAGCTGGATATTCATAATATGAAGTTCAAGGGGCACTGGGTTTAAACAAATTGAATTTGGAAGGTGCCTCTAATAGCAGTTGAGTAGAATACGTCATGTAGTTTAATAGGGCAACGTTTAGTGTAAAAAGGGGGGCACACTTTTCAGATTACGAAGACTTTTCTGGCATTCATTACAAAAGGAAAAGGGCACTCAGCCAAAGCAAAAGGAAATTTTCGGGGAGGGGCACTTATTAGAGGGGTTATTTGCCCCTTGCTCCCCCCCCCCCCCCCCCCCCCCTCGAGAGTGCCGCCTCTGCCGAATTCCATCTAAAGATCCTAAAAGACATGAAAGATTGCTTACCCCTTCCTTTGTCCAAGTCGTCTCCTACAGCAGTCCAGCTGAGGGTCACCGTGCTTTTGTCATAGGAGAAAGAGGTATATTCCAGGTCATGGATACGGGAAGGTCGTAGAATATCGTCATCGGGGTTGCGAGTGTAGTTTTGGACCTTAAAGACTCCTCCCCATGCTGTACGCATGAAAGATGGCTCCACTTCAGATTCTGCAAACCAGTTTCCTGGAGGCATACAGTTGAGAAAAAACTATATATTATATATATATATAAATTATCCCAATTCGATAAGTTAATATATTCCAATATTTTGTATTGGGTGATATATTGGTGATAATAATTTTGTTTTATGTACTCACAGCAGCCTCATTAGTATAAATGCTGCTTTTTCTATAATCCCTGGAAATAATATTCGCGCAACATTGCAATGTATCCATTTTACGCCCGGGTAATGATTAACAACAAAGGATGTAGGCACCGAGCAAGGATCTATCCATGGACTTCCTATATAGGGGAGTCAAGAGCCCTTATCAATTCAGTGCTTCCATTCGGGATAGGCCTTCCAAGATCCTCTGCTGTGCATACAGTATGCTATGATTTCTTTATTTACTATAAAGTTTTAAACGATTTCAAATGTGTCCACGAGAGGAATGGATTTCTTTGCCTCTTACCAATTCAAGATTAAATTTTCTTTTAATCCATAGACCTAAAGTATACAAACTTTGTGAAAGTGAAAGGAAATCTCACCCTAAATAATAAGTGTAGGTATTCTGAAAGATAAGATGTATGCCTGCCCTTTGATGTATAATATTTCTCACGGAAATCTACAAGTTATGTATAAAGATGTACATAGATGTGAATAGAGGAGGCTAGTTGGCTCAGTCGGTAAAGCGGCTGCCTGTTTATAGACCAAAGATCCTTGGTTTGAATCCCACCTAGGCGGATGACTGAAGCCTGCGTTGTGTGTTAACGTGTTCCTCCCCTTGTTCCATAAACGCAGGCTATATTAAAAGGCAACCTAACACTTAAGAATTAGTGTAGTTATTCTAGAAGAAAGAATGAATTCCTGCTTTTTTATGTACAATACGAACGTGTACAAGAGATATATAAACGAAGATTTCTTGACATGATGTAATGCCTTTTAACATAATATGGCGCAGCCATTTTCTTGGAAATGTGACGTACAAGGCGAAGTTGTACATGTATCATGCACCAAGCTTTAATTGGAAAGACTTTTTCAATAACAAAACCTTTACTTTTCAATGAAAGAAAATCATAGCCGAGAAGTTAAAAATTATATTTGGTAATAAATATATAATAGGGTAACAATTGTAACTTATATAATTAAAAATACTAAATTATAGCGGTTGAAAAATCTATTTCATTTATGCGGAATAATCTTCAACCAAGAACAGCACCAACTTATTTATGCAATTTGCGTTCTGGCGATTGGAATACAAAGGATAATAGCAGGTGAATGAAATGCTTCAACACCAAAAACACCTGGGAAGGAAGCATCCATACATTTTAATACATTTATTTTATTAATGACTTCGCATAGTCCGTTACGTTATCAAGAAAATGGCGATGTCCATGTCGTGCTGAGAAACTGTACATTATTCTTGCTGTATGCCTCTCTCGTACACATTGTTGGAGGAATCCTGTACATTAATGGATAGGAATGAAAGAAATCTCTGAGAATATTAAAGTAAAGTTTTTTCTTGGGGTCAGGTTTCCTTTAAACTAGATCATTTTACAAACCTGTCCGATCTTCTGCGAGATCATGGCCAATGACATTGACCTTGACGTTATATGTGCCATCAGACGTAAAGCTTATGAAGAACCCTGAATATGTTCCGTCATCTTTGAGTAAGTCAGACCCTGATGGATGCAGAGAGAAGAGAGTATGGCGATCAAGAGTTCTCCTTTATTAGTTTTTCATTGGGAAAACAAAATCAAAATCGAATTAAACATTTTCTTTCACATGTTTGAATTGTTGCAATTTCCCTGATTCGGAAAGCAGACTGGGGGGGGGGGGTTATGCACTAAATAACTGAGAACGATATCGTTCCTGAAATCAATTTTTGGGATTGATTTCAATCCCAGATTAAAATCTATTCTTCCTGACTGGTTAAATAAATCGTTTTTAGACTGGGATCAATCCCAGCGTGAATAATCATGCGCGCATATGAATATTCATGTACGCGATCAATCCAACCAATCAACTAAAATTTTGGTCACTGGGCATTATTACGCTATCAATCGGCCGACATATTTAGCTGCTAAATTTGGCAATGACGAATATCGTCATTGCCTTGTTTTCGTTCACATTCTGCTCCATTAATATTCTTCTTCTCCTTGTTCTCCGTGTTTTCCGTGTTGTTTTCGTCAGGAAATCACATTCGTTTTGCACGTAGTGCTTGTTATCCCTAGTTATGCCCTTTGCTTTCCGTTTCCTTTCAAATTTCATAGGCAAAGTCTT